ATATATATGTATATATTCATTAAAAATAAAGCATAAAAGTAATGGAATTGTGATGTGATTGGAATTGAACATTTTTATTTAGGTGCTTAGCCATAACATTACTAAGAAACAACAGTAAAACAAAATGTGATGTCATGCTGCCTTTTACAGCCCATTGTCTATATTTTCGGTTGCTGGCCTCTTACCTACGAGTTTGACGAGAAGAGTGACGCAACAAGTCGAGCCACCGAAAATATGAGGTCTGCTGTTACTTTCAGTTACCCTGTTAGTCTATTTATCTTAGGTTACGATTCTGCTTAGCTTTTTTCATAGTGATGCTATTTGGAATCGTACTGCAGGATACTCAATGGTGAAGTCAACAATAGGCACGTGTGCTCTACAAATGCTATCACTTGTACTTTTACATGCTCTTATTGTTTGCTACTCTGTAATTAATAATACACGTTTGGGTGCCTTCTAGTTATAATGTTTAATATGTAGATAGTTTTAAACTTTATATCTAATCATTTCATTTTGATGTTACTTGTTCTTATTGCATGCACTTTTATAAAATCTTTGTTATTGAATGTTTAAAGATTCAATAATGCAACTTGCCGATTATTATTATAAATCATAATTTTGGCGAATAACAGTATGTATCACAAATCTTATTAGATAGATTCAAACAATAAAATCTTTGATTTTTATTCATACTTTTTTTTACAGCTGGCATGTTGTACATTGTAATTGAGGCATTTAATTTAGTATAAATCTTCATTATATACAATTTATTGTGTTCGTATATGAAAAATTTGAACAACTTTAGTATACTACTTTCATACACTTTTCAAAATATAAATACATACAACTACAAGGGAACTGGTTACTCTCTATCCTTATCTGGAGGCTTCTTAGCTTGCGGTCAATATCGTTAAACGACAGAAGTATATTTAACGTCCTCATCCTTCACGGTCATCATCACTGACATCACGATATAGGTGGCTTTGCGTAGGAAATTCATTCTCCGACTTACAAGTACGTGAATCAATTTCCATAAAAGAAAGAAAACAAAACGTCACAATTTGTATGTAGCGTTAGCAATAAGGCTCTGTTTGCATCAGTTATACTTTTTTTTTTAATTTTCTAATTTGGATACTTAATGTCTGGAAAGAATAGAGCGTTTTTCTTATTAAACAAAAAAAAATTTTTTTGTGTTCTTCTGAGTTAAAGTACTTTTTCTTCCATGTTTTAGTTTTTTTTAATTTTTCATCATATTATACTTCTATAAGCTCATTTTGTGTTTGAGTAATCCAAGCATTTTTAAATTCTGACGTTAGAAATGTATGGAATTAAAGTAAATTTTTAATTTTACTTTTCTATTTCTCCATGCCTAAAATATGTACATAAAAAAAGTAATTTTTGCATTTTAATTTGTTAAAAAAAAGAAAAAAAAAAATCGCTTTTCACGGGGTTTGTACTGATTATCTTGTGCAACCATTCCAAGTTTATATTTACTCAGCCACGAGCTTTTTTCATTTGAAGGGAATTCTTACTGTCTCTCACACTGTGCTGTGTAACTTATTTTTGACTTCAATATTTTTTTACTATTTATTTATTGATTTGTTTTTGTAATACATCATCATACATTCAGTAAATAAATGAATTCTTGATTTATTTAAGTAATTTCTTTCAAAACTTTGCAAACGCATTTTAAGTATCAACTTTGCAGTAATATTTATAAGGTTTTTAAAGTACATGTTTATTAAGATTCTATCAATTGGCTAGTTATGCAATAAATAATTGTTAATATATTTTTTTTCAATTTTTTGAGCAAAGTATTACATTAATAACATTTTTTTATCATAACTTTATTAATACAAGGTTTTATAGATAAATTATTTGATTGTACCTACGTCTTATTCTTTCAAAAGTAACGCTACTTTCACTGGCACGTTATGTTCCTACGTTTAAGATAAAAAGGAATAACAGAATTTTTCTTCTGCTATTTAAAAATTCAACGTCACTGGTGCTCCGTAAGTAAAAATTACTGACCACTATGCAGGCAGGATTTCTTACTTCTCGAGTACCAGCAGACGTAAAATCGTATACGCACCACGTTCGAAGGTTGACCAATGCCCTAGATTTCACATTAACCACCCTTGGCTTCACCTCGAGCTTTTATTCATATAAAATCTGCGACATTCTTAACCTCGCTTACTAGGTACATAATGTACTATGAGTATAATTGTATGTTAATAAAAAGTAAAAATAGCGTGACGGTCAAAGCGTCGTCTGTTAGTTGAAGAAATGTCGTAGCAATCCCGTGCAACTGAATATTACTAAAAAGTTGGAAGTCATTTCTCTGAGTGGAGTCTTTCGTAGCCTAGTAATAATTATTTCTTGCTCCTAATCTTGTCGTACTGAGAGGATGAGGGTTTCATTTCTGATTATGAAATTTTCGAACGGAAACTAAAAGAAACTTTTTTTTTAATTGTGCTAATTAAAAAAGCACAATCAATCGTTATGCAGAAAGCAAAAGTTTATATCTCCCTGTAATTTCAATTTAATGATATATCTTAAACTGTTAGAAAAAGCGATAACGTATAACATAACTTAGTATTGCGAACGATGACAACCAATACACTTTAATGTTAAAACAAAAGTATGGCTATAAAAGAAAGACCACAAACTTTTATACTATTGAAACTTAATGATACGACTGACTAACCTAGACTCACTTTAACTCATTCATGCTGATGCTTCATTGCTTCAATGCTGCTTGAGATGATCGTTTCGGTTGGTGTGCAGTTGAAATTGATAGTCTAACGAAACCGATAAACTTTTTGTTTATTGCTTTCCAATGTATAAACATGTGGGCATCAATCAATACTATCAATAGGTTCACGGAGAGTAAAAAAAGAATACGTTGTGCATTAGGCATTATGCTGATGGTCGTTTTTTATAAGTGTACAACGTACGTGTGCAACTATGGGCTTTTGTTTTTCATCACTAAGAAAATACTGTTACTCTATAACAACTCTTGTAATTCTCATAAAAAAGCTTTTTCATAGCTATAAGTATTTCAGCTTAAAAAGTACATA